TCTAACTAGAAGCTTTATCAAAAAGGAAAGTTTTAAGCCTAGCCTTAAAGTAGACAGGGACTAAAACTAGTAGTTGGTTCCTGAAATCAAGCTTGATTAGTAATTTTCTTTTCATGCAGACACAAGAGTTTTTGTTTTATAAGTTTATGCATGTATTATAGTCAGGAAGTACTGAAGAACATCTGTTTGCAACTCAATTTAAACATAGTCTGTGTTTCTTCTTGACGCTGCGTTGAAGTGGAACATAGCCGGCAGCTGCTCATACATTATACTGACATTGGAAGCACACGTATTACTGATTATATTAATCCTGCAAGGCTTCTGCAGAATCTGTTGTAAAGTCACAGCTGTCTGATGCGCTTTCAGATGAAGTGAGATAAAGCAGCAAAACCAAAGGAAAATAAAACATTTGTGCACTGAGGAGTTGCCTGTATAAAAGAAAGAATATTCACGTCTTTATAAATTTTATGACAAGTGGCAGTGAGAGATCTATTTCTAGCACCTGTGAGATCTAAAAATACCATCTGAGGAAACATTTTTCTTGAGTGCTTGCAGGAAGAATCAAGCAGCGTTTCCAGTTTGGTCATTTCTCAGAAAAAAAATGACATGATGTGACAATGTTCAGATAAGATATCATGGAACTGCATCAGAATTTTTCCTCTATCTGAACAAGGTGAAGACTGACAGGAAAAATATAGACACAGCAGCTGACAGGGACTGACACAGCTGGGGGCCCATCAGCCTTAAAGGAGAAGTCCGCTCACATTCAGAGTATAAACTTCTGAAAGTACTTTAAATATAAAAATATGACATACTGCTTGATTAATAAGTGTTTTTAATTCAGAGTAATTTTCAATTTTCATTCATAAAAGTTTGGGCAGCAATTTCCCGTCTACAGCGTAATTACAGAGCTGAAGAAATAAGCTGATTAGTTTTAAATGAATACTGGAAGATATAAAAACGCTTCCTAAAGAAATTTACATCCATTTTTTATGAACCTTTTACTTGCAATTGGGTACTTCTATATTTTACTGTTTTTTTTGTTTGTTTTTTTTATTCAGACTTTATTTTAGATGGTTTATAAGGTGGTAAAACATCCCACTTTTAAAGGAAAAGTTCAGCCTAATTCAGAAAACAAACTTCTGAAAGTTCTTTAAATCTGAAATGATTCCATCCTGTTCAATAAATGATCAGTGTTTTTAATTCAGAGTAATTTTCATTTACTGTGCTTTACTTCAG